AGTGTGTGTGTGTGTGTGTGAGTGTGTGAGTGTGTGTGTGTGTGTGTGTGTGTGTGTGTGTTCATATGTGTGTTCATATGTTCATCTCTTATTTCCAGACTGAACTCCATCGATGTGAAGTATCAGATCTGGAAGCTGGGCGTCGTCTTCACTGATAACGTCAGTACCTGCTCCTCATATGTGTGTGTGTGTGTGTGTGTGTGTGTGTGTGCTGGTTTGGTCAGGTCTGCTCTGGGTTGTGTGATGATGTGTCCTGCAGTCGTTCCTGTATCTGGCCTGGTACATGAGCATGTCCATCCTCGGACACTACAACAACTTCTTCTTTGCCGCCCACCTACTGGACATCGCCATGGGCTTCAAGACCCTCAGAACCATCCTGTCCTCTGTCACACACAACGGCAAACAGGTACCGCTGAACTCTCCCGCGGTTAACCACGCTATCCGTCTGTCGATCTATTTGTTCAGAGTGTTCGGGGATCATTTTAATAACTCGAGGTTCTGTAATAAGCTCTGCTTACACATTAGAGACACATACAGCTGTATTAAAATTGTTAATATATCAAAAATAGAAATTAAACATTGCAAAATAAAAAATACAAATTAAACAATTCTGTTGTGTGTTGTAGCACCTGAGGGCCTCACAGTTTGAGACGCTCTGATGAAGATTGATTATTCAGAACAGACACACACACATATGAGCTCAGTGATGCTGAATTAACTGTGTGTGTGTGTGTGTGTGTGTGTGTGTGTGTGTGTGTGTGTGTAGCTGGTCCTGACTGTAGGTCTGCTGGCGGTTGTGGTCTATCTCTACACTGTGGTGGCTTTCAACTTCTTCCGTAAATTCTACAATAAGAGTGAAGATGGAGAATCACCAGACATGAAGTGTGACGACATGCTAACGGTGAGCAAACAGCTAAATCCTCCCCAAAAGTGTTTGAATGCTGTGATTTTTGTGCATGAAGACCTGAATTAGACCTGGTGAAATGCTGTTAAATGCTTGTTTATCTGATTAATCACAATCTCTCCTGAATCTGCAGGTGATGTTTGCACTAAAAGCTCATTATCACAATACTGACAAACACACGAGTCAACCAAGAGCGCATATGAGTATATATCAGGTGTTTCAAGACATTAATTGGAGAGTCTGCTGCTTTTTTAGATGCTTCTCCTGAGAAAACACTCCCATGTGTCTCCTCTTTTTCATCTCAACATGAACTTCAGCTCTAGTGCCTCATGAGTCTGTTTCTCCTGAGGGGTTGGAGGAGACATGAAGCACATATGAAAATGAGACATAACTGAGACTCAGGAGATCTCGCTTTACTCCTGATGATGTTGACCTGGACACTTGCCCCCGAGCGTGACCTCTCACCTCTGATATTTAGCGTCTGATGTGATTTCCTGCTCTGTGTGTGGTGTAATGTGTTCTTCAGATGAGAACATCGCTGCCATCGCTCATTTGTGACGTTAGTGCTGTTGCTAAACGCAAATGGAGGGTCATTAGGACCGTAGCGCATTAACGGCCAGAGCAGTCGACTAGAACAACAGACTAATTAACGAACTAAACAAACCCAGAGAGAGAGAGAGGATGGTGTTATTCATCAGATTCACAGGAACGTGTGGTTTCATGATGGATCTCGTGATTTAATCACCCTTGTGTTCTTCATAACTTTCTTTCTCATATACATTTATATAATGATAATAATTACTATTGAAGTAAAACAAAACAAAAATTACTATTATTGTTAAATACTTTTATTACTCTTGAAATATAATGATTATTTCCCAAAATGTGGGGATGATATTTTGTTGTCTGCAGCACATCTGCTTTAGTGTTGCATGTAGGAAAGTGATGAGGATGAGGAAGAGTTTCCCATTGTGAGGTGAGGCAGCGAGGTGTTTGACGGATGTGTGCCGAGAGCTATATAAGGACACGAGTGTGTGTGTGTGTGTGTGTGTGTGTGTGAGCGTGCTTTAATCCGCTGGGAAGCAGCCACCCGTGCAATTCCATTTCTCTGTTTCCTTGCTGTTTTTGTCTTCCTGTCCGTGCTGCGCTCCTGTCTGTCTCTCTTGTCTCTGCTCCTAATAAGGGAAGACAGTTTGAGTGAAAGAGAAGCGTTTGTCAGAGACGACAACGAACGCTTTAGTCTCGTATCCAAACACTTCCAGCTGCACAGATCCACAGATCGCTGTCTGGAGATGTGTGTGTGTGTGTGTGAGAGAGAGAGGTGTGTGAGAGAGTGAGTGTGTGCGTGTGTGTGAGAGAGTGAGTGCGTGTGTGTGTGTGAGAGAGTGAGTGAGTGCGTGTGAGAGAGTGAGTGAGAGTGTGAGAGTGTGTGTGTGTGTGTGTGTGTGAGTGAGTGAGTGCCGGCGGTGGCATCGGTGATCAGATCGAAGATCCGGCAGGTGACGAGTACGAGATCTACCGCATCATCTTTGACATCACCTTCTTCTTCTTCGTCATCGTCATCCTTCTGGCCATTATTCAGGGTGTGTATCTGTGTGTGTGTGTGTGTTTGCTGCATCTCGTGTGTGTGTGTGAGTGTGAGTGTGTGTACGTGTGTGTGTTTGTTTACTGTATCTCACATGTGTGTGTGTGTGTGTGTGTGTTTGCTTGCTGTCTCTCGCGTGTGTGTGTGTGTGTTTGCTGAATCTCGTGTGTGTGTGTGTGTGCGTGTGTGTGTGTGTGTTTGCTGAATCTCGTGTGTGTGTTTGCTGTATCTCATATGTGTGTGTGTGTGTGTGTGTGTGTGTGTGTGTTTCAGGTCTGATCATCGATGCGTTTGGTGAGCTGAGAGACCAGCAAGAGCAGGTGAAGGAGGACATGGAGGTGAGGCACACGCTGAACTCTTGATGTGAAGTCTGCCGTGTTTGCTGTATCTCACGTGTTTGTATGTATGTGTGTGTGTTTGCTGTATCTCACGTGTGTGTGTGTGTGTGTGTTTGCTGTATCTCACGTGTGTGTGTGTGTCTGTGCTTGCTGTATCTCACGTGTGTGTGTGTGTGTCTGTGTTTGCTGTTTCTCACGTGTGTGTGTGTGTGTGTGTGTGTGTGTGTGTGTGTTTGCTGAATCTCGTGTGTGTGTTTGCTGTATCTCATATGTGTGTGTGTGTGTGTGTGTGTGTTTCAGGTCTGATCATCGATGCGTTTGGTGAGCTGAGAGACCAGCAAGAGCAGGTGAAGGAGGACATGGAGGTGAGGCACACGCTGAACTCTTGATGTGAAGTCTGCCATGTGTGTGTGTGAGTGTGAGAAGTTTGATCAAACACACGTGTGTTTTTCCTCCTGCAGACAAAGTGCTTCATCTGTGGGATTGGAAACGACTACTTCGACACGGTTCCTCACGGCTTCGAGACGCACACGCTGCAGGAACACAACCTGGCCAACTATCTGTGAGTCCTGCTGCGCCGTCAGCATTCACACATGCAGCTTTAATCGCAGGAAGTGTTTATGATTCTGTCCTCAAGCGATTTACCTGCGGAGAGTCAAAGACAAACAAACAAATGAGATGCGCGATCAATACAGCATCCAGACCAGCCGCCTTTGGCAAATAAACAGAAGTTAACACAAAACATGAGCAGTGCTGACAGAAATGAGTCAGATCATCAGTTAATTCTTAGAATGATTAAATGCATAAAGGATATTTGTGTTATTTAACATGTTTAATTATTGTAGGTTTGCATTTCACTGTTTTTATTCATTTTGAGGAATACTGAATGTGTTTTTGTGCGAGTGAGAGTAAATGCAGTTGATGTTTAGTCTAGATCTACAGTAGCATCATGTTCACACAGCGCTCTGCACTCACTCCTGATTCTCTCAGCATGAGGACAGGAGAGCTGTCAGTCAATACATGGGAAACTAAGTAGCTGGCATTACTTATTTGAAAAAGTAATGCATTACTTTACTGGTTACTGGTACTTGAAAAAAGTAATCTGATTACGTAACTCGAGTTACTTGTAATGTGTTACCCCCAACACTGGCCACCGCAAACTCACTGCATACAGTGACAGAGCACAAACTATCAGCCACACACACACAGTAACCTGAGTGATATATATGTGTGTGTGTCTTTGCAGATTTTTCGTCATGTATCTCATCAACAAGGATGAGACGGAGCACACAGGCCAGGTATTTCCCATCATCCCCTCTCGTTTGTTTTCATGTGTTGCTTGTTCTGTTCCAGGGAAACGTTCATCATTTCCTGATCAACACACACGCTTGTTTGCCTTTCAGGAGTCCTATGTTTGGAAAATGTACCAGGAACGATGCTGGGAATTCTTCCCCGCTGGTGACTGTTTCCGGAAACAATACGAGGACCAGCTCAATTAAAACACACACACACACACACACGGATGGCTCTTACAGTGGCGATTCTATCAGCTGGAACGCTTTCGACACACAGTGAACATACAACATTTCTAGCCGCAGCTGAAGAACCACACTTTCCTGCCATCTGACGCTTCTTCATTTCATCAATGAACTCACAGACTGATTGAAGAGGAGGGGAGCAAGACGTCATGAGCGAACGCTGCACGCTTCTTTAGACGGGGATCCGGTGCCTTATGCAAGATGAAGATGAGCCGGAGCGAGCGCTGGAACCCCTCAGGACTCGAAGATTCTCCTCTGCTGATCCGTTTCTTGCTTTGTTTTCCGTTCTTTTGGTAATGCACCCATGCAACAGCAGAGTTACTCTTTATATAGTCAAAAAATCTTTCATTGCATGTTTATTATGCAAGTTTAAGGAAAACATTTGAAATGTAAAGACGCAAGCTGATCTATATCACGCGCAGTTTTCTAGGTTTAAGAACATTTAAGCGGTCTCTGTCCTGTCGCAGTATATCACGTTCGCAGAGAATATGTCCACTAGCGGAGAAAAACGCATTCGCATTAGATTTAGTTTGATGCAGAAGCAATACCCATTCAGGGAGTCCGCCCTACGCCCTATACACTACACCCTACACGCTACGCCCTATACACTACACACTACACCCTACACGCTATGCCATATACACTACACGCTACGCCCTATACACTACACCCTACACGCTACGCCCTATACACTACACACTACACCCTACACGCTATGCCATATACACTACACGCTACGCCCTATACACTACGCCCTATACACTACACCCTACACACTACACGCTACGCCCTATACACTACACCCTACACACTACACCCTATACACTACACACTACACCCTACACGCTATGCCATATACACTACACTCTACACGCTATGCCATATACACTACACGCTACGCCCTATACACTACGCCCTATACACTACACACTACACCCTATACACTACACACTACACCCTACACGCTATGCCATATACACTACACTCTACACGCTACGCCCTATACACTACACGCTACGCCCTATACACTACACCCTACACGCTACACACTACACGCTACGCCCTATACACTACACCCCACATGCTACATCCTACACACTACACCCTACACGCTACGCCCTATACACTACATGCTACGCCCTACACCCTACACGCTACGCCCTATACATTACACCCTACACGCTACGCCCTATACATTACACCCTACGGCGACGGAGGGCTGAACATCAGCGTTTCCCTGCAGGAGTTCAACTCACGCTTAATAACTGTAGAAACACGTCACGGACAGACTCACAAAAGGCCTGCGGAATCAAGACATTTCCCATCCTTCAGGAAACCACTGCACTTTCTTTCATAGCCATGACGAAGACCAGATGCTTTTCTTATTTGTTCTACACAAAACAATGTGAATCATTGCAATAACAACGAATGGGCTAAAAAAAACCAGCCGCAACTATGTGAGAGAAATTTTACTCATGTAAAGAATTTTGATAACAAAAAAAAAACCTCATCGGAAAATAACCTGTCAGACTTCAGTGTACTGTGTAGAGTTGTGCGCATATAACTGTGTGTGATCTGTAAAAGGGAACTCAAAGACTTGCATGATTTTGAAAAATAAAGTGATTATTTATTGATGCTTGTAGGTGAGGATGTGCTTACGATCACAGAAACATCATTCTTCAGATGATTTGCTCCTGCAGACGAGGCTGAATGTGATGCTGTCCGAATGAAAGCGCATGGAAATAATGCCTTATGTTCATAAACTTTTTACAATTTGCTCATTGGGTTTGCTCAGTTTGACCAACTTCTGCTAGTTAACTCATGTTTGTCAGGTGATTTCAAGTGTAGTTCATGACACACAAGCAGAATTAACCCTCAGAATGCATTCAAAATCTTTATACTATTTTGGCATTCCGGGTCCATTTGGATACAAAGAATCGTTTTCCTATAAAACTTAATATAATCAATTTAATATTTTGCAACCATATTATGCATCTGATCAGCAACGTCTCATTAATGAAAAGTTATTACTCCGTGTTATTACTGCATTTACCTCTTTTTTTTATTAAATAAAAAATTTAGAAATTATTTAAAATTTCAAGTTACAAATGAAACCAGCGGCTGTCGACATTAAACCATTCTGTGAATGAGTCACTTTATTTCAGAGCTTCATTCTTTCCTTTGTGCTAAACAACTGAGTAAAATCATAGCTTTTTTTTTTTTTTACTTCTCCTGAGAAAAAGACCCCAGTAATTGTTGATCTGAGCGGATCTAGAATTTAAAACAACTGGTGCCTCATTTGTGGCTGTTTTATTTCTCCTGAAAGAAACATCCAAGTCAAGGCTTCAGTGAAAACATCTGAGCAGCTGAAGAAAAGCTTTTAGTGATTCATCAAATGTAAATGCTGTATCATCGATTATAAACAGACATCAATCATGGGAATCGTATTAATGACAGATGTTGTATCTAAATCTGTTAATGAATCTCTAATGAGCTATAAATGAGACACTTAGAGTGAATCCTTTGAGCAAGTGAAGGGATTCAGTGTTGTGTGTTCAGTTCATTTCATTTGTTGAGCTTCAGTAAAGAACATCATCTGTTTCTGTAGTTCATATCAGATGTGTTTCACACAAGTGTTTTCTTCAAGTGTGTGTGCGCGTGTGAGTGCGTTTGTGTGTGTGTGTGTGTGTGTGTTGAGTGTGTGTG